GAGAGAGAGAGAGAGAGAGAGAGAGATCCAATATATAGGGATTTTTATACAACTTAAACATGTAACCAACCGTTACATGGCAAAATTTACTGGGTTAAAGAAACTTTTTGGCTATCAAATTGCAAAACGCCACTAAAAGTGTTGACTTCTGTGAAAATTATCCTTTTATCAAAGAAAGATCACTTGGAAGTTTTTAAAAAATCCGGTCTGGTAATCGATGATTTTTGTAAGAGTAATCTGATGTGTATGAATTACACTTTATCTGTTTGTTTATTAATTTATTTATTTATTTATTTATTTATTTATTTATTTATTTATTTATTGAGGGCAAAGACATGGTAAATTTCAAATTTATTTTTCCCATGACCTTCCATTATACAGTATATCGATATATATTGAAATGTTAATTGCTTACGCCTTCGTGTGAAAAAAAGTATTAAACAAGGATGGTAAAAGGATGAAAAAAGTCATCGAAAGTTTTATGTGATTAGTTAATTTCATCATCAAAATGTAATTTTCCATCAATGTAAAACAAACTTGAACTGAACTAATGGTACGATCCAAGTATGATGTAAAGCACATTATAATTTATATTTTAGGTTTTTAATAGAAAACGAAGCTCTGGGAGCTTGCCTTATAAGGAAATATGGCGTGGTGGAATAACAAATTAGAATGGAAAATTCTGGTGATCACGTAAAGAACAAGGTCGGAGAAATAGGTATAAATATTTACCTTTGTTGCAAAACTGAAAACCACCGTCCTTTCATAACGTTTAATTGTTCCGTTTAGAAATTTGTTTTCCGTATTATCTTTATGAAACTCAACCACAGGGGAAGCAAACAGGTAAAAAGTTAATGATATGTGACAAGAAAACTCACTTTCTGGTTTACTATGTCTCAACCAGAATCCGCCATTTCCTCCAGTATCGTTCACCATAACGTCAGAGAGGAAAGACACAAAGGATATTACTAGCTGTCATCGGATGATCTTAAATTTAACAACGCATTATAGCGGTTCCCTCTTATTATTATTTTTTTTTACTGAGAAAGCTGGAGGCTGGGTCGTTTGGTTCGTTGTTTGAACTTTTCGACACCGATGCGATCTAAAACATCTTAACAGGACTTAAAATCACTGCGGAATGTTTGCGATCTCTCCCCAGGGATAACGTGAACGGTGTAGTTGCACATTCAGTTCTAAGTTTTGGCTTTTTCGTTTCGAAAAAGGTATATAAACATTTGTCCATTGTGGAAAAGAAAGGTTGTCTCACTCAGCACGTTGACGTGGGTGTAGAAAGCGAAACAGCGAAGTTACGAGAGCTTAGAAATCAAGAATCCATTGAAAACGAAACAGTATCACAGTTTCAACTTTCATATCATTTTTGCGAAATTGTTTATGAAGTTGGCAAAATATTTTAGAAAAGGGACACTAATGTGATTATGGCTTGCTGTGGCCGTAAAAAAGGAGCGATGATTTTTACTTATTGATATTGTGAACAAAGACAAGATTGCAATACATTCATGAAATCCGACTCACAATACGATTGTTTTCTAAAAAAAAAACGTTTTTTTGGCTCTCAAATATTGTAAATATAATATCTTTGTTGATTGGAAATTACATTCAAGAAAAATATTTACATTAGTTGAAGATTAAAAAAAAAAAAATTGCAGAAAATTTTATTTCTTAGCTTTGAAGCTGTTCGGAGGGGGGGGGGGGTGCAGAATCTTCAAATCCTTTTTTCCTTTGACTTACTATGTGTGATATATGAATAAGTGAATCTCGTAATCACTGCGTTGATTATACTTCAACAAATAATTTCTTAATGGCACCAGTATTGATTAAGTAATTAAAAAAGCGCCCAAGCTCTCTGTTTTTATCAAAATCAAGATTTATGGTATTCGGACTTAATTTAATTAATTAATAAACAAACGTTTATACAATGTCTATGACACTATAATCAAATATAAAATATCATTTATGAAAGATGTAGATGTTTATTATTCAAGCAGTTAGAGACCTTATAAATGTTTTTTTTAATATGCTAAACAAATTATTATTATCATTTTACTCTCAATAATTGCATTTCTACTAAATATTGATATGACAAACTCTTTGGAATGTGACGTGGTGGGTCGCATTAAACGTATTGTAGAACCTTGTTTTCTCAAAACGAAAGTAAACTGGATTTGCTTATTTTCCAACCAGTCAACACACTTCGCTGTCACACCCTGTAATTCGCCAAAAATACAATATTTGGCCAAGAAATTTCATTATCCGTTTTTGAGAATGGGCTTAATATAACAAATTATAAAATTTAATAACACAGAAAACTGGAACTCAAAAGTGATGAGATCTTGATTTAATTTTTATTTTCATTTTAATGCATTAAAGAGCAGATACAAAGTAAAACTATTTACACATCCGATCATGCTTACCACTACAAACCGCATTAAGTAGTGAAATCATAATAAATAATCATTTTCAACCAGCACCTCAGCTTTATAAGAGATGCTTCATCCTTGCCATTTTTTGCAATTAAGTCATTCTTTTAAAGAATCACTAACAATGACTTAAATTAAATTAAATTAGTTTCCAAGCCCTAGAATCTCCCGAGACTAGGTCCTAATATAATTTATGAATATTAAAATACAAAACAACTGTTATTATAACATATAGGATATAAAGAACTTTATGGTATTAGATATGGAAATACTGTACAATACAAAGAGCTTTACACACAACTTAACAATAAGCATCATAACAATGTGAGATCTGCACAAACAAGATATCAGTAAAAACAATTTTTTCAGTTATTATTTCAACAATGTTGTATCTGGTTTCAATTTAATCACATCATTTTAAATTGATGGGTTTCAACTGACTGATTATACAACTTTACCAGTTACTATATAAAAGCTCATATTACCCTTCAAGACAATTACTGATGTATGTATCAGACCAATCTTTTTTCATGCATGGAAAAATATCAAATGGTTATAGATAATATTTTGAAAAAAAATTACCTTATCCTCTGTAATACTGATTGATGTAATGTTTATCATACTCTTGCTCCAATTTTTGAAATCAAGTTATTTGGAGCATTAATTAACGTTAATTACAAATGTTCACAATATGAGACGTGTAACTGACTTTTTATCTGCACCAGCTCTGAGTGCCTCTAAACACTATCATAACATTCGCTCAGCGATTATCATACCCTAAACCTCATAAATCTAATCTTCCTTGATTCATAACTTTCAGTATCTGATTTACTAGCATGGGCAATCATCCCTTAATTTCAAATTCAATGTCTGACAACTTTAAATTCCCCTATATCCAAGTACAATCCTCAGTGGCTGACAGCTGAATGACAGTGTCTGATTTGTTGTCCATATCCACACCAGAATCACTCCTGTGTTTATCGTTGCCTTTCTGCATGGCCGTCAGCCGTACCAGCACCTGGCTGGGTATGGTAGACGAGTCATGTGACCAGGGCCTAGATAAATAAGGTCTGTCCAGAGCACTGTTCGATGTCCCCTGCTCTGTACTCAGATTTAATTGACTTTGAGAAAGCCTTTGACTCACAGGAGTGGACCTTTCACCAGTGGTGGTTGTGCTCTGTTCCTGACTACAGTCTGAGCACCTAGTGTTTGTTTTACTGGCATAGAACACAGAAGAGCTGCTGGAATGCACACTGGGAGTGAGATTCAGGGAGGAATTGAGGCTGGTGAAACCCGGACTCAGATCCATTGAACACAAGCTGGACACATTGGAGGATGACCTTTGGCCTGACCTCGGGTCACTGAGTGACCTTTGACTTGACCTCTGGACACTGAGTGGCTGAGAATCATTCACTTGTAACAGAGACTGAGCCACCACAGTTGGTAACAGTGGTTGTGATACATGATAGTCCCTCCTACTGTCTCCTCTATTGAAATCCTCCTCCTCCTCCTCGTCCTCATCTCCCCCCTCCTCCTCACCATGGTGTATCTCTGCACTGACAGAGAAGGTGTTACTGCTGGTGCTACTCATGCTTTGTCTGTTCTGGATCTGCTGTAGAGCTGTAGATACATAAGAAAACATGTCATGATCTGGTGAGGGCGGAGGTAAGGGGCTCCGTAGGGTGGACTGCTGACCACTGAACTGCTCTGTATAGTGATGTACCCCTTGGTCAAAGACCTCTCCCCCCTGTGGTGTCTCCTGCTGTGACACCCCTGTCGCCTCCTCCTCAGAGCCACTGCTCAGTAATGGCTGACTGGGGTCCTCAGAGTCTGCCTGGCTTTGGGCAGATGTGTCGTTATTGGCAGCTCGTGATTTGACGGTCAAGACCACTTGGTCATTGGAGTGTGGGCGCATGATCGTTATGTCGTGCTCTGGGTTGTGGTGCATGTTGAATGTTGGCAGACGACCATTCACCACACACGGGTCCTAGAAAATAGAAAAATGAAATTCCTGTCAATCTTTTCAAATAGATTTATTACAGGGTTTTAAGTATGCAACACATATTGTCAGTATTATGTCTATTTACATTGAAGTACCTTTATAGAGAAAAATAATTATACCGTCATAATGAAGTATTGGTATAAACTCTGACAATTTTTTTACAATTAAAGCATTGATTTTGATTAAAAGTTCTTGTATTCTTGATCTTGAAGATATTCATTACATCATGAGAGCCAAGAGGTGAATTATCTTACCTGTAGACACTGGTTTAACTGGTGGATGATGGATTCAAAATTTGGTCTCATTTCAGGCACCCCATGCCAACACTGTACCATTATAGCATATCTGGAAGATGGAAAAATAGATGGATTTAAGCTAATGTATCAATAAAAAACTAAATATTATCTATAATAATTAAAAAAACAAATTAAAATTAAATTATAACTGTTTTTTGGAAAAAACAAGAGCAAAATTAACTGAATTACTGAAAGAAAAACCAAATGAAACGTGTTATTATCATCACACTTTTCTTAATCATTTCACTTAGGTGACATTGTTACTTCACAGATGAAAATAACATTTTGTGTCATTTCAAAAGACGTTAAATACTTCCCTCTAAAATACCATAGCAATGTTTAGATTCACCACTGCAGGGATACTTACACTGAAGGTGGACAGTTTTCAGGGGGATCCATACGTCCACCAGATGTCACTAGTTGCATGACATCCTGGTTTCCTCGCCCTGTGTACGGCATATAGCCAAGAGAGAACAGTTCCCAGAGCAGGATTCCAAAAGACCTGAAAAAATTAATATATAGATAAAATAATGAGTACCGTGAGGAATTCACATTAAACTAACTTGCAAAATCAAATCTTTTTTTTTTTTTTTGATGAAGCACTTAAATGTACTTGGTAAAAAGATATGACAATAGCAGCTACAAACTAAAAAACTGCCCTTAGGCATTAACATTATACTGTTATATTACTGTTACCTACATATTGCTCAAAACTTACCAGACATCAGTTTTTGAAGTGAAAATTCCATCCAAGAATGCTTCTGGGGGCATCCATTTCACTGGCAGCATGGCTTTCCCACCTTTTCTGTAGTAATCAGCTCTGTAAGGTAATGTCACATTTGTTAATTTCTTTAAAATACGTGTTCTCCAAAAATATATGTAAAATATCATCTTTACATTTCTCTGTTAATTATGCCATAACTCTTTGACTAGTGCTTCACCTGATATAATTTTGAAGATGGTGAACAAAGATGCTTGAATAATGAAAAATGAGTTTTGGATTGACTTTGGACGACCATTTAGAACCACTGCAGAATGGCATATTTCAGATTTAATAATCTAATCACATGTCCTTTGCTGGCATAAAAACCACTCCTGTCATCACAACCCAACACAATCACATCTAACACACTCCTAAAGCCCTTCACTTACCTGTAGATATCTCTTGCCATGCCAAAGTCAGCTATCTTGGCCACGCGGTCAGCATCTTTACTGGTCAGCAGACAGTTTCTGGCCGCGATGTCTCTGTGGATGAAGTGGTGTTCTTCAAGATGGTGGCACCCCTTGGCCACATCAATGGCCAGTTTTAGGAGGTCCAGCATACTGACCTTGGGGGCTTCATTCTGGAAAAACAGAGGGGTGTCATGGGTACTACTGTATGTGTTCTCTAACTTTACATTTGTCACATAAATTTATGGATTCAAATATACATATTTAAAGCATCTTCCTTTCCCCTTCATTCAGCAATGAATTCTGTTATACCAGTTTTGTTAAGTTATGGTTCCCACAGGCAAATTTGTTTTTAATGGTAGAGAACTTAATTATTACCTGTTTGGGTCTTGCTTCTCTAAGGAAAGTTTTCAGGTCGCCACCCTCCAGCAGTTCCAGCACAATGAACCGGGGGTGTTTGTCAAAACACACGCCAATAAAGCGTACTATGTTGGGGTGATGGAATTTGCTAAAAAAAGGAAAGAACCTCAATGTGAAATTAATAAAAACAATCATTACTTGACAAGTGATGTGTTCAAGGAAAAAGAGCTGAGTAAATATAACTAAAATTTTGAAATTCCAAGAAAAAGAGTTGAATGAATTATAATAAAAATTTATATTCCCTGCAATAGAGCAAAAAAATTATAATTCAAAATTTAATATTCCAGGCAGAAAAGAGCTGACTAAATAATAATTTTTAAAACATGATATTTCAGGAAAAAGAGCAGACTAAATCATCATTTATAATCCATCCAAGGTAAAAGAGGTACTATAGAAATCCCCCGTACCTCATGATCATGGCCTCCATCAAAAAGTCCATCTCAGCTTGGTCTGTGCACAGAGAAGGCAATGTCTGAAACAAAAGACCATCTTATTATATAGAGAGACTCTTTTTGTAAATAAAGTCATAAAAACCTCTGTGTGTGTGTGTGTGTGTGTGTGTGTGTGTGTGTGTAAGCACAGGTATGAGGTTATATATTTTTATCTTAGTATATATGGTCAGTTCCATTTATACTTAAAAATATATGGAACTTATCGCCTAATGTACTCTATGCTGTTCTGCTATAGGTCTGATTATTACATTTTGAAACAGATCACTGTATTATAAAACCAGTCATTACATCAAATAATCAAAAGTTATACAATGTATCATTTCTCACCTTGACGGCCACTGGGATGTCACGTGACCCTCTGGACGCGTTGGACAGGTTGCCCTGGTAAACCTCGCCAAATGCACCTTGACCCAAGGCTCTGGAAGATCAGATAAAACCTCAGTGAATAACATGTCTGTTTTGTCAAAATACATTATACACATTATATTTTTATACATAATTATAAGAGTCATTGTTCAGTCATATGAATGTTATAATTGATAAGAGATTTTATTCTTATTTTCTGAATATGAAGAAAAAGGTAAATAGTTGCAAAAAAATCAAACACCATTAAATATTAAAATGAAAACAATATTCACATAAACCAAATCAACTACTGAAATATGATTATATACAAAAGTGTTTCAAAAAATTTATTTATAATCCATCCCTGTCATCCCTAGAGGCCATCCCTACCTGACTAGCTTCAGGTGATCCCTAGGGATATCCCTCAGCTCTGCCAGCTGGCCACTGGAGAAGCCAAAGTCATAGTTTGGGTTCATTTCTGTGGGAAGAGGGAGGGAGATCTGTCCTTGGCGGAGTCGGCTCAGCTGTTGGTCAGTGCGGTGTGGTGCCTTGTCCAGTTTGGACCCCTTGACCATCTGTCTGTGGCGATAGTGGACTGGAAACGTACGAATAATTTTTTTTCATTCAATTGTTAATGCAAACTTATTTCTTTAAAATATTATCATAGACATAATTTTGAGATTTGAAGATATATTATGGCCTCAGTAGAAAAAGAATGTATAAAAAATTTGGCTTGATGTCTAGGAAAACATAAATACTTTCTTTTATACCAATTTCATTTCAAATCCCAATCTTTGTTAATATGATGGACAACTAGAAGCAATGATAGATACAAACCTACTTCATACATCTTGCTATCAAGAAAACAAATACATGAAAAATTATTAAATCCTCCACCACCTCCTTCAATAAAACATTTCAAAATCGACCCAAGTCATTCTGTCAACACTTCATAGACAGCTGTATACTCACCTCCACAAGCCACACAGGCGAAGAACGTGGCAACAGCTGCTATCCCACCCATTGCCATGGCGATGATGTGAGTGACAGAAATGTCAGCTTGGTACAGTGACTGGGGCACAACTGAAAATGTCAGAAAGGTCAGTGAATTAAAGTGGTCACTCCTGTACACGACAGCTGACTGGGGATAGATGTCAGCAGACAGATTTGTGAGTAAAGAATGCACTGAGTCAAAACTAAGAGTAATCTCCCTCTCACATAAAACAATTCATAATTGAATAACTACCTCATCAAATCATAGATGTATATTATTATCTTTTATTTGGCAAAAAATACATTTTAATGCATAGTCAAAAGCAAGGAAATAAAGTTTTGCTATTTAGGAGAACACATTTAAAATAATAAAGTCAATCAAAAAGGAAACTTGTTTTTAAAATTCTCTCATCAGTGCCTATTTTTTTTTAAAATTACATCTAGTAGTCTGTTTTTTTTTCAAAGGCAATTATTTGGAGAACCATGTTTTTGACATTAAAATAATCTATATGGTACCTAGACAGGTAGAGTTGTCCTGTGCTAGGGTGTGGTCATCTGGGCAGTAGCAGTGATAGAGGTCAGAGGAGAGGTCATCTACTTTGCAGTCGTAACCACAGGTACACTCCTCAGTCAGGTAAACCTGGACAAACCCGTCTCCAAAGTTGGACTGCAAACCTGGATATGACAACAGAGAAGTGTGAACCACAGGTTTCTTATATGAGTAGTTAAAAAAATAAAAAATCTATGAAAATTCAGCTAAGGGTTGTTACTATGTACATGTCTATGCTTTGAACGCATGACAAAATTAATTTCACTATATTATGTATTACAAAGCAGTTTGACAAATATTGAACATCAAATCTTTTTTTTTTTGCTTCAACACAGATCTTTTCTAATACCCTGTCAAAGCTGGGCTTAAACTGTACTTGTTCCTTCTAATTAAAAGGACAATTTCAATAAAAACCTACCAGTTTCTTCAGTAATATCTATACCCTGAGAGCTGATATATGAGGTTCCACCAAAACCGCTATCATACGGACTGTTAGTAAAACTAGTGTTCCCACCTGAGGAACAAAGAATTAAATTGATTGAAATGTGATGAAAATGTAACTGGTTGAAAACTTTTAAAAAAAGTTTTAATGTGCACAATGATTTTTAAAAATTTTAATGAGACTTGTGAAAACTTATTAAATCTACTTATCTTTCAGAATGGGTAACATGTCCACATGACACTACACGTGGTATACTTTCAATATTAAGATCCATGATCAATTTAATATTCTCACCTGTGTACCCCCCTCCTGCGCCCCCTGCTGTGCAAGCTCCGCCCCCTCCACCAAATCCTCCAGTAATACTCCACAGACTGCTGGGGCAGTTAGACCCTCCAGTGGCGCCATCTAGCAGTGAGTTTCCAGACTGGAGAAGTTGTGACGTTTCTTTCCAACCACCACCAGCACCTGCCAAATAGAGATATAATTGATTAGTCAGCTGAAATATTTAAAAATATCGTTTGTCATTTTAAAAATTATCAAAACAAGCTTTCATCACAAAGTACCAAATTTTCATAATAAGCAAAATATGAGTGTCTACATCAGTCTATGAAATACAATATGTTTAGTCATTTTTTTTTTACTTAAATGAGAGTCAGTCATAAATGCTCACCAGGGTTGTCCCTCATTTCCACTCCGTGTCCACCTCTCCCAGCAAGCTGATTGGTGTTGGTTGCATTACGTGCTATGTTGTCATAGTATCCAGCGCCAGCACCCCCTCCTGCTACTAACAACAGGGTCGGCAGTTCTGAGTTGGAGGACAACTAAAAACAGAGATATTGATTCATCAAAAATTTATTTCTGTATTAGCAACCAATAATAAGCGAGTTTTACTGTTATACATAAATATTTCGAGTAGAAAAATTGCAAAATCCTATATACAGTAGTAGCTATGATAGACAAAACAGACAAAATAAGATGGAATCCTGTAAATGAAAAATTTTTATATGTTCAATTTATACAAAATACTTTCTATAAATGATTATTTTTGTTGCAGATGAGGTTTCAGTTTTTTAAACTCACCGTAAATATATAGGTGGCACCACCTCCTCCACCACCTCCGCCATTACTGACAGTGTCAGCGTCTGTCTGCAGGGCTCTAGCGCATCTCTTAGCAGCAGCTGGGTCCTCCTGGAAATATGAGGTGTGGGGGGTTAATAACATACTTGCTCCAACTGATTTTTTACCATTTCATTGTCCAGATCATTGTAAATGCAATACATCAGTATATGTTACAGAGGGTGAAACACTCTGAGAAACTATTTTTATTAAAACACATTTTGCATTTTACAAATTGCAGGAAAATGCACTTACCTTCACACTTCCACAGGCACTCTCGCCTTGTTGTCCAACCACCATGTAAATCTTCTGTCCTTTCTTTAGATAGAACTTGGCAGCCGCCGTGGCCCCATGCCCCGGGGTGTGGCTCCTGACTCCATACCCCCCACTAGCACCTGACGCAGACAACCTGCAATATTCATATACATTATTACTATATATATTAATATATATCTAATATAGGCATTTAAATATTACATATAAAAATTATTATAATATTATCATTATATTAATGGCTTTGCAAATATGTCAATCAACCAATTTAGCAAATGTTATTTCCTTTTCCTTTTGGGTTTTAAGTTTGAAGTTATCAGAAACTGGATAACTGTCCATTAAAGACAAACTATACACATTTGAATATGTTCCATAGTGATATTTCCATATCTTTATATATCCTGCAAAGCTACTTATCTTTCCTAATTCAGACCTGAAAAATGATAAATGTCTGGAAGTGTGACCAGATATTCAGAACTACATTACCAATTTAAAAATGGTACAAAACATGAATTCCAGATGCTAAAATAGGCTGAGCAATGATTCTTGGTATGGAAAAAATTGTCTTTTCTCATGCACATTTAAATTTGGCGCAAAAATCACTGAAAGAATTATTTTGATAAACTTACGTGTATATTCCTGAGATAGGAACTGTCCAAACTTGTGCCCCTGTGAACTGTCCCCCCTCCTCCACTGTGACCCTCATGTCTGTGTTCCTATACTCAGTATAACACTGGTCTCCATTTGGGCCATGGGCACCCTTTGATCCACAGGGTGTAAACCTATAGGCTGGAATATGAACAGGTTATATGTAGGATTATCATATTTACATATATATAGGTACCCTGTATAACACGGGTTGTGAGTTGAAAGGGGTTGCCAGTGTAACATGGGCTCTAAGTGAATCCAGAGGTACCTTGTGTTTTTTTTTTGTTTTTTTTTTTTTTTTTGGGGGGGGGGGTTGAATGACTTCATGGTACACTGTTTTACAGGGGTTATGTGTGATTCCATGATATGATTCAATTCAAAGGGTGTTACAGTAAATCTTTCAGTGACATAAAGTACATCACTGCATTTATTAATTTGGTATCTACATTTCTGTAGTCAGCATTACACTGTTTACATGTGAATCCACATGCACTACTTGAGCTATGGGAACTAAATTTACAGGATGATAGCATCAATTGTATAATGCATTTTGCACACTACTTTACCTATCAGGTATTATGTATTACAACATGGGAAAATATATTAAGAAATCAATGTTATATTAAGAATCAATGTTACCATATATTTTCTTTTACATTTTGCATTTTATCCTACATTACATTACATCACATTGCTTCACATTACATTACAGACAACCTTATACCATAATAATGCTTCACATTTCAATTATAACGTTTGTTTGCTTTAAATTTACAGCAGAGCCAATTAAAGCTGATATCAAATAACTCACTTGTTTCCTTTACTTTCTCATTGGCATAAGTGATAATATGAGAGATTTCCTTGGACACAAGCACCGACAGATTTCCTGAAATTGAAGGAAGATCTTAATAATGGCTTGTTCATGGGTGTTAACACCTAACAGATTATCTCCAGTTGACAAATTAGGCTTAAAATTTTCATTGGCAATATGAGAGTAAATAAAGTGGAATAATGAGGTTTAGCTGGTCTTCATCTGATATCAATTTGATGCAGGAAACAAAATACCCAGTAAATGATGTTTTGACATAATAAAACTAAAAACTGGATAATACTACTGTACTTTAACTGACACGATAAGCACATTAAGTCTGACACCAACTTAGCAGAGGATTCTTTCAGAATGTTCAATCAGTAAACTTCTACACTAGATTTTTTCTATCTTTCTATCTTAATGACAGTTTCATTCCACTGTTTTCAGCAATTCTTCCTTGAGATAACTATAGAAGAAGAAAATGCCAGATAATTGCCTCTTGAGCCCTTACTTGCGGTGTTCGTGCTGACAATCATGAAATGCAGCCTAATATGGTATTACGGCAGAACAAGGTTGTAAAAAAACTTACCAAAAGAAGCAATGATTTCAGTGTCACTTTCTGGTCTTGGTGTTGATTTAAATGCAGCTTGGTTAACATTTTTCAAAATACCTGAAAAATGATTATAATAAAGATAGAGAAATTTGGGATAATACATCATGTAAATCAAAACCTTAGGTTTAATTGTTAGGATACATACCATAACTGTATATCTAGCCATGTGTATGTCTCAGTACAAATAGTACTATAGATAGGCATCCATGCCCAACAGATTTCTGTTCATATCAACTTTTAAATAATGAAAATGGAATCTATGAACCAATGTTTTTTTTCTACTACCTACCCAGACCAAAGCATTCTGGTGACAGTGAGATGTCATCAATAGCTATGTCACCACGGAAACGCAGGCCACGGGTGGCAACAAATTCTAAAGTGTAGCTGAAATAGATCATAAATGTCAAGTATTAGTTTTGTTTCTTAATGATCAAAAAATGCTGTAGAAAGAAAATATACATAAGACCAAAGGAGAAAGTGAATATAACTTACCAAACTTTCTTATTTGTCTATCTATGTGTGATCCAAAACATGATTCATTAACAGTTACATATAAATATACCAAATTGTTTGAGGAAGCAAGGAATAATTCAAAAATATTAACTGTTAGATAACAACACATCACTGAAATTCTGAACATTTTTACAAATCCTTCAAATAACATATTTTTCGGAGAAAAAAATAAGCAACTCACTTTGAAGTCACGTTAAGTAAGGGGATGGCGACATATTGCCAGGCTGCACTACTCCTGCCAACCTCGGCCTTCCACAGGTTTCTTCTGGTTCTGCCACGATTCTCCACCATTTCTAACTCCAGACGCCCCATGTTACGTCCATACATGTGGTAGAAGAACCTCAACTAGAGAGGAAATAACAAAAGGATTGGAAACAGGTGATAAATAAAGGCACTTTGGTTATAAGACATTTACAAGTGAATGCTTATCATTAGAATTTCTTTAATATATGAGAGAGAGAGAGAGAGAGAGAGAGAGAGAGAGAGAGAGAGAGAGATACAGTATGTTTATCATTTCTTAAAAAATAAGTTCTCTGCAATAGATAATCATGACTCGTGTCAATTTTGAGCTCCATCTTTAAAATGGCTGCCATTTTGAAGACACTATGTTAAATTTGGGACATTTTTTCATGAAAAAGCCTCAAGTTGCTGGCTTTAATGGGAACCTTTCTCTGCCATACATCCTGAGCTATCCTACCTTAAAAGACTGGTAATATGGTAATGATGGTATAAAGTTAATGGCAGGAGGGGGCGGGAAGCTGCTGCTGACCAGGATGGCGGTGTCAAGTGGCTGCTGCTTACTGGCCTCGATGTATAAATAGTAGCCTGCGAAGTGGAGAAAATGAAGTGTTTTGATTGGCTGTATTATTTTACAAAATCATTATAAAACATTTAAAGGTGCATACGAACCGAGCATCGGTGGAGTGTGGATTCCCAGTAACACATGTAAACCACTTCTTCTAGATTTTTGTATGACTCAAATAAATTTGACTTGCCAAGGGATAAACTGAATAGATCACTCGATCAGCCATAAAAGACCTTTAGACTGCTCCTTTCTTTAAATTTATGGTTGTAAATTTAACCTACATTCGTGACCTACTTTCCTGCCCCATTGACATACAGCATAGAATGCCAGCAGAAAAATTTGTTCAAACATCACTTTCGGGTAAAATTAAACAATGCCTTTTGGTAATTCTCTTAGTTATACTACTTGAAACTATATGCTGGCATTTGGTTGGTTTTTGTGACAAAAAATTGGCTTTGTATGCATCTTTAAAAGAATATCAAAATAGATAGTGACTACAATGTATTTATAAAAATTTAAATATACAAATAGTATATGGATTTGAATGATAAAATAATGCAATGTATTGCTATGCAGTGCAATACAAGTTACAAAAGCTGTATGAGAAATACACAAGTATTGAGATTTGCATGGAGAACAGATAGTGCATGGCAAGAGGTGTGATCTGTTGGCAAAGAGCTTAAGTAAGTAAGTAAGTAAGCAAGTGGTGTAAGACCATTACACATGAGACAGCGGTTCACTAGTTATTGTAAACAATGGCTTTTAATTTTCAGATAAATCATCTTTGGTACAAATGAAACAAATATGATTTACACTGCTGAAATTGAGATAAGATGAAGGCATATTTTATTATCTAGGTCAAATAACACCAATTACTGATATTATGTTGCCAGTATTGCTTTACATTAAGAACAATAATCATGTATGTTCTTGATTGTTACTGACAGGTATGAGATAAAAACAATTATTCTTGAATTAAGGCCACTCAAGCTGTTACAGTGGTGATGGAAATCATTGTGACAATAAGCTGTTTATTGGACAGACCAATAGATGTCAGTTAACAGACACAGGTGACAATAAGTCACTGGCAATAAATTGCTTTTAGAAGAAGCTTGGCTGAATATGTAGTTTTTTGTCCAGAAGATATCTCAAGGACCAAGAAGCATCATCTTATTTTGCTATTTCTTTGTGCTCAGAATACTACCTAATTAATGGTTATTCTAAAAGATATTCAGTGTCTCCGTGATTTTATGAAAATCAGTTTCTTTCTTCTAATCAAAACCTTTTTTTCAGAATTATTTCATAACCAATATTTTGATTTTTTTTTGCATTTTATAAAGATTGATGCAGCTGTTAATATTAAGTTTGAATAAACTTAATAAAACTATAAATAAAAAATAATCTTTTTTTAACATTGCTTTTTTGAAGAAACATGTTTTTTTGTGATAACTCACCAGACTTGTTTTTCAAGGTGTTATCTGTCTGGGGCCCCGTGGAGAAGGAAGGGGTGGACCCCCTGTTTCTACTCCAATCAAAATGATCTCCTCTTTCCACATTCCTCCAACCACACCAACCATCTTCAAATGTGCAATGTGCATTTTTGGGCAGGGCATCTAGAATAAAATGATGTTGTTCGACAGTTTAGCAACTGAAACTTTGAAAACTAAATAATGTTTCAAAGAAAAAGTGAAATATTCACTGTGCACACTGTGGCATGTAGACTAAAGGGATCTGATAAGTTATCAGTTAAAAAACTTATACAATGACATGACAGTGAATCAATGCTTTATTGAAATGTAAGGCTTCAAGCATTCAGTGTCACAACCCACCACAATCCTGCAGCTCATCAGCTCCTCCACTGCAATCTGTGTTGATGTCGCAGACCTGAGCTCCGTCAACACAGCGCTGGTTTTCACACATAAACTGGTGCAGGTGGCATGTGTCACGTACTGGAACATCTAGAAATAACACAATAAATAAACTACAACCTCAGCTATGAATTACATGAACATAAGTAATGTGTTTCATCAGCCATTAAATGATCTCTTATTTGATAATAAATTATAACCTTACAACACACAAGTGATATTTAGTTAATGTTTAATGCTTTGGCTCAAGATAAAAGTGAATCCTTAAAGAAAAACAAACAAAAAAAAAAGCTATTTATGGGTGTCTGGGGGCATCAATGCCCAAATATCAGGATTTCTGGATAAATCAACAAGACTTTCATGTCTACTTAGCATTGTGCCATAACTGTTTTCAAACTTTAAAGTATCTTAATCGCCTATAACTCATCATGCTCCAAGTTCTTAATTTTTAATCACGGTGCCTTAATGAAATAGACAAGAATAAAGGGGAAAGGATATATTTACCCACCATTCATTACCTAGATTTGGCCATAAAGGTAATCCTTCTAAAAACAGCATTAATTCAACGTGAAATGTACATCTAAAGCTTTTAGTTTCAAAGATCACACCCATTAATTGTGGGATGCTATTCCAAGAAGGTGAATTTTTATGTTCATATTTTCAAGAATGTTTTTCAGTAAAGGTGGCATAATGTCCATTCTCCTGCCCACTTTTACTTTGATGAAACAACACCAGATCTCTGGGGATTTGTTTTAATTCCAAGAACATGGCTATTACTGGCAATCACACCTTAAGGCAAATGTTCCATGTCTTTGTCATCAAACTTAACACAATTGCACAGTTTTCTGGCACTTTCCTATATCATGCAATACTGAATTCGAGCCTTGTTTTACAAAAGAACTCTAAGCTGAAAATTGCACCGATTTTTAGACACTGGAAAATTTACATTTGTTTAAGAAAGAGGGCATCAAATTTACTCCCTGCACCTCAGTGATCTATAGAAATATATGTGTGAACTCAGCAATCAGTGATCAAAGTAAACCCACACTGACTTTTAATTGCACTGTATTAGGAACATGTTCCTGCATACATAGATACTATTTTAATTTTAAAGAGGTTAAATGAGGAGGGCCAGTCCATCGCCATTACACAGTCCTCAACAAGGGCCAGCTTAAAATACTATACAAGTTCTTCAAAAATTCAGTAAAAATAAAGTAATGTAAAATGGTTGATTTGGTTTCTAAACTGACTTTTCAGAATACTGTCAGCTTGAAAGAGGGCTTCTAATTTTAATCTTAAAAGACCAGAGTAGATGTTTTAAGGATTATTTAAAGGCTAATTGCAATCAATGCAAGATTGCCCCTCCCAGTTGAGACTAATTTTGAAGGAGAAATATGTTTTTAATGTTTGGCATTACACACATTTAGCTGTCATTAAGTCTGTGACCAAATATTACAACAGCCATAACATCAATAAAAAAAGTAAATATATGAAATGTGGCTGGACATGAGATATTACCAAGAACAATCAACTATAAACATTATTCACTGTGACTAAAAAGACTAGCAAGTGCACTACATTTCATTATACCACCCACCACCTTATTTTCAATCAAGGTTGACTATTTTTTCAAAAATCTGTACTTGACAAATTTGGTGAATAATCAACACATGGTGTATTGAAATATTGTAATATTAGGCAAGAAAACTTGTCATAAATCTCTGAAGGCAATATTTCATGAAACCAGCTCATGTTATCACACTTAGGAAACATTTCTCATCAACAGCTGACACATTTTCTGTCATGTGTCATATATACTTCGTCAATATGTAACAAAATTCATTTTAGTGTTGTTCCCTCTCTCTCATAATGGTTAGGATTTTCATATTGATTTTACTTCAAAAACAAATTTAATATTCTATACTGAAGACCACTATGTAATTTATTATGCTTTTTAATAACTCAATATTTGCTAGACTGTAGTAAAAATTTACATTCAGATAATAAATCAAACTGAATAAATCACATTCTAACTTGACAGCGGAGTTCACAGTGAGAGGTCATGAATGTGTCACAGCTTGGACCCTGAAAAGGGGACACCATTTTTTTTTTTTTTTTGAAGCACGCAGGTGTGAAGTGAAAATAAAATGAAAAAGGAGAAATTACCAGACTTTATGGGGACATCTGCCTCATAAAGTGACACTTAAAGAAACTGACACACGTCTCGGCCTTAGGCATTAAACAGCCTGCGAGGCAAGTGTCAATATTACGACACATCCTTCAAGTATTAACAATAATCTTTAAAGGAGCATTATAGCAAATTTGTTATGAGAGATTTTTAGTATAACCAGGAAGAAATAGCAGAAATAGTTTTGAAACCACATTTACAAAAAATAATGAAAAGAAGAAATAGAAATTGTCACCAGAATGGCAGTAAAAAATTCAAACAACACTTGAAAAATACTGAACTGCATAGTTTCTTGCACTTTTTCTTATGAACATATTTTTATCTGTAGATTTTTCATAACTTACCACCACAACATAATTCTGATATAAAGGTATCTTACCCTGAAATGATGCAGCACTCGTTACCAATCAACTCAATTTTTATTTTGGATCCTTTACCCGTCAACAATTTAAACTTGTCCAATACAGAAATTGCGCACAAATCTAAGGCACTTCACTAATCTACCCAACATTCAGTTTTTTCATGATTTTTACATTTTTGTTACTGACCCTAATCAAGATTCTGAATTAAAAGCCACTCATTATACAGATTACTTTTATAAAAGTTTAAGGAATATAAATAAACCTTTTTTGGGGTTGTAAAATTGATTAAAAAAGCATTCAAATCAAGGTGAGATATTACCGTAGATGAGTGTAATATGATCCCCCTTCCTAACCTTTTACATCAGTAATATACTACTTTATATTCCACCACATGAAAACTCTCCAGTAATTTTCTCTGTGCCCTATTAGTTCCAAAATTAATTTCTTTCTTGCTGTTCTAAGTGAGAATTACCCCGGCTATGAAATATAAATTAAAAGCTAAAATAAGGGCTGCTCTGCACCTAATAATACCTTCAATCTTTTTGATGCAGTTGCCTGTGATTCACTACGGCCTTATTGCATGTCTATTATAATGAACATAGTAATAAAATAAGGTTAAAAAGCTTGACTCTCCCAGTCACCTATAGTCTCCAAAGATTTGCTTCAAGCTGGAAAGATAAAAATACTTCTTCTAAGCGCCTGAGCTTTTCCATCTCAACGCACCTGGCCATTAGCATAGACTGGTTTGTTTAATGAAGCTTAGGCCCCCCAACGCAGAGTGTCAGTGTATAACAGTCAATGAAAATATGTTTTGCAGGCAAAATTCCGAACTCGGCAGTACAACTCATTGCTAACAGTAGCTCCATAGGAGGCAGGCACTATAATTCTAACATTGCTGAAAAAATGATAATCATACATCCAGGACACTGCAAACCACACACTATTCAGACTTTTTCACTGTAAACTAAATCTGCCATAGGCAATCTGGTCCCATAGTGAATCAACTCCAATTTTGTCTCTCCTGAGAAATGTTGAAAGAAACAGAAAGAAAGGTGGATTAAAGCTAAAAAGGAAGTAGAGAAAATGGATGACCAAGCTTTTGCCTTGGTTATATAATATATCAGCAGATTAGAAAATACACTATAATTACAATGTCATATTTTATTCATATACCACATGAGGGAAGCCAAAGTGTTAAACTTCGCAAATTAAACACTAATGTTCACTTTTCACAATGTCATATGACCAGTATTAACTCTCACAAATTCCTTTTCACATATCCGTTCATGCCTCCTACGCCTGCAGCAGGACATAGTAGGAAGTGAGTTTTGACACTGAAGACAGGTAAACTACTACCTTTACTCATCCGCAGATCCTCTTACAACTTACACTTGATGAATGGAGTCACTCCCTTTACGGACAAATTACCGTCAATATAGGCCTTTAATTTTTTTCTTTACACCTACTGAGACTTTTTTCAATTACCTATTGCATTTTATATTTTATTTTTTTTCAATTTTGAAATATGTTATCTCATAAATGTAAGATAAACTGAACATATTTTCAGCTGTAGCTAAGGATAATGAGCATCTGAATCTCACCTAAGATCAGAGCATGATTCAACAGCATATTATTTTACACAAACTCCATCAATATTTTTCACTTTTTTTTACAAACTGACCTTCAATTTAAATCATATAAATCATACATTTCAAATAAATCCATCCATCTATATTATACCTTAAACCTGCCGCAAACCACTCAATTAAGCCCAGCAATTTTACTGCCTTCATATCAGCAAGTTTTCAATCATAACGAAAACTGGCTGAGATAACCTATCGTTGCAAGATACAGTAAATTGATTTGTTTTATTCGTAGAATTATACATCAAAATTAATCAAAATTCCGTACCTGGGTGACAGTTGGGCAGGGTAATGGTGTCCACTGCAATATGTGCTCTATCATCTCCCTCCACTCTCAGGGCTATGAAGTAAAGACGGAAAGGCTCGCTGATGTGGCCGATATTCACTACTTGTTCTTCCCAGCTGAAAAATTTCCCAAAATAATACTAAAATCAATAAATGCACTGAGTCAACTTAAAATACATTAAGTCAATGGAAAAATCTGTTAACCATTAGAAAAAACGTAAGGACTCAAACTAAATTCAAGGACAGCAATTTTTACATTTAAAACCATCATAGGATATGCATTCATACCGCATCTAAAAGAAGAGAGGGATTGGAGATGAGAGAATTTAGTAGATATGGAAAAATGGTCAAATATAAATGGACTAAATTTCTTTTCAATTCATCCAGGGTCTTAATCAAAATCTGTTACCAGTCCATCATTACATCACTGTCTGTTCACTGGTATTAATCTGATCATAAATAAATAGCTACAAATCATCTTAGGCTTGACTTTCAATAAAGATCTCCATCTCTTCTTGCAATCAGGTAAGGGGATATAGAGGAGTTGTGCAGATAGATTCAAAATTCAATAGGACAATCTATTCCGCATCTCACAGAGTTATTGGAATGTGGAAACTTTTCATTTCATCAGACAGTCACTTCTGTAAGATAAGATCTAGGACTGGTGCCACACCAGTACGCCATGCCAGGGACATCTTGGCACATACACCACATGTGCATTGCCCAGCGTGCCACAGTCAAGGCCAAAGTGGAATAGCACCTTACATTGTGATGAGGATGATTACAAGTTGGCATCATTTTAAAAGATACTTAAGCCAAGTCAGTTCCAAATGAAATCATTTTTTTTCTCAGATGTATGCAAGTGCATGTGATGTGAAATCAAAATATGTGTAATGATTTTTTTAATTTAAATTTTACATAATTTTTACAGATGACAGTCTTAGTTGGCACTGATTTTGATTTAGGTTTATGGGCTTATTTTTTCCTTCACAAGACTCAGTATTCGATTTAGCAACAACCAATAAAACTCAACGTCTGCAGATTTGACTTCAGTCAAAGTGTTTTACGTATTATCTCTTTGCATTTTCCAATACTTTCACAGGTGTTCAGCAGTTTATCATTCTCCATGTTTACCACATTTTCAGAGTAGCTTGTTTCTGCTTGCAGCCACAAAACATCACCTTGTTTTTTGACTGCGTACCTCACGCTTAAGTTCAGTGACACCAAACAGCTAATTCCTCATTTCACCCTATTTAGGACAATTAAAAGTATCAGGAAATGTCATCTAATTTAGAATTGAGATGACTGAAACCTGGAAATGCTTGCTTCATTAGGGCAGTATTCTAATTAAAGAAAAGTGTGTGAGGAAGTTTCAAAAATGGTACTTGGATTACCCGTATCTTGGCCAGAAACTCAGCCTGGTAACAGATTGATAACTAATGGTATTTTGGACTGTAAATCTATATTTAAATACAGTCCTATGACAATAATAATAATTCCAGAATTATTTCACTGAGCACAGTTAACTTTGGAAGTGTGTCAATCATTTTTGTGCAGTATTTTGAGTGTCTGGACACCAGCCCATGTTGAATTTCTTCATAACCCAGAAGATAGCTTGAAGGAAAATTGAGAACACTGTGTACGTGTACAAATTAGTCGTCCAATGTCAAGTGCATTTCATGTCTTGATGTCAGCACTTCGTAGCCAATGTTGAACACTTGTGCATGATATGTTTGGCAAAACTATCAGCAGTACATGCCACATTAATATTTGTCCACATAAAATTTGATTATTTACAACAAAATATGATCCACTTTTTGAAGCAGAAATTTAATATGTGTGGTTTTCTGTTAAAAGCTGTGATATGTTAAAAGAAATGTATTATAGTTAATATCAAAACGTCCATTAATCCTCCAACAACACACTCACAAACTAAACATTTTGAGAGAGTTTACATTTTTATTTGTGTCCATGCATCGTAAATGCATATATGCACGTGTGTGTGTGTGTGTGTGTGTGTGTGTGTGTGTGTGTGTGTGTGTGTGTACATTTGAAATTATGTTCAACAAAATCATAGTAAAAATGCAATATTAATGTCTCCTCTGTCTTTCATCATAACACACATCATGCTGCATGGCAAAAGTAAGATGTAGCAGATATAAGGGTTTGTTATATATAGCCAAACCAAATGCAAACCCTTTTGATTAAGAATATTTAAATTAAAAAAAATTTCATTTTTTCTTGACATTAATTCCAGACAGTTTCCATTAACAGTGTCAAAACCTTTATGAGAATGCACTAGTAAAGATTCCAGACAGACACGAGATCCCCTTTCTTTACGGAAGCTATTAAGACTTCATCTTAACACGCAATGGGCCAGTGACTGACGATAGCTGCAAGGGAACTACAATGAATTACATCACCTGTTGTTATAAAAGTGTTAGCCCGTGTCTGGTCATAAAAATATTCTTTTAGAGATTTTTGCCTTGTGGCACTGTAGTGTAGTCAATGTAGTAACACTTGTACATATACATTCCCATGGCAGAACTCGCACAAATAATAATAACAATAATAACAGACTAGGGGGAGAAAGATATTATTCAGTTGTATGCCCACAGCCAAAAGCCAATCTTTGTAAAGATCTGCCACGAACTTTGATGTACTTATAACAAGTCAAGTGCACTTTCAGAGAAGTAGTAACAATCTACAAGTTCCTGTCATGTCGTTTTATGTATTGCTTTGTTAAACGGTGTCAGTTCAGTATGATCTTTTTCATTGCTTGGGGTCATTCATTTTTCTTACTTTTTATCCTAATATCTTCGCCTCTGTTTTATTTTCCCAGCTTTGTTCTTGTCGTTTCTTTTTTTTTAATGGTGCAAGGAAGTACCGGGCAGCGCTGCTTCACATAAAGGCCCCCCTGTATACTGGGAATTGGTTACGATGTCATTTCTCACACCTCTTAGGCGAATTGCAACAGAGTATCACCAATACTACCATAGCTCACTACCTTAATTATTAATGGCTTATTTTGCCCCTGTGGTAAGTTTTTTTTTTTGCAATATGAAGACATGTTAGAAAATATGCTTCATTCATAGCATTTTTTCAAAAAGTCAATATCTAAAATGTGAAAAACTAAATTTATCAAATATCTCCCTCAAAAATCTATTTTTTTTTTTTGGTGTTCTATTATCCTTGTGAAACATTAAGTGACTCATCTCTCTCTCTCTCTCTCTCTCTCAACTCACCTATTTTCCAAGAAAGCTGAGACATTTTTCAGAGTCTTGGTGCCATTGGAAACTGTGTGTATCCTTATCATTAAAGCCTGCTTCCCAACCACATGCATAAAGAAATGGACTTGGCAGTAGGGGCCGCTCTGATCAAACCAGGGGCTCTTCAACACCGCCCCTGTCACATTAGCATCAGCAACTGCATAACGACCTGAAAGTAAAAAAAAAAAGATTTGCATACATTCAAGAGAATGTTAGAGATGTGTTTAAAATAAGTCTCACTTTGAAAATTGTACATTTTTTTTATAAAAGGAAAACAGAAAATAAATAGTTAGGTTATCAATAGTGCAATGAACTTGATCAGTAAAGACTCAATATCAGCTTTCTTGCATCTTTTTTGTATTTTTTTATATTTATTTTGGCATTAGATATAAACCTATATATCATCAAAAGGGGAAAAGAGGATAACATTGAAGTTCAAATTACCAAAGAGAACACAGTGCATTGAGTGTATCACTTTGGAACAAACCTACTGTATCAATACATTTATAAAGAAGTTTTTGATGTAGTGGGCAGATATGTGATAAAGAAATCAGTGCACATATCATAAACCCTGTAAAAAGAACTTTGAAATTAATAGTTCTAAGCCATGATGATGTGTACTTCAACTACACCATATTGCCCCATTCATCTTCTTCACTTCTATCCCTTTTGTCCATCAGAGACAGTTGTGGGGTGATAGTATTGAATAGTGCCACCCCGCCACTGAATATATATCTCCTCTGCCATCAAGGATTATCTTCTAAGAGATTGTCTAGATACCACAGGTTTTTATCTTGGATCTTGATCAAATCTTGGAGGTGTGGAGGGCTGGCCCTGTATTGGTGTTTCAAAGTCACCGTGTGATGCCTGACTGTTTTTTAACGTGTTTTGCTGATGGCCATATTGTTCACCCAAGTACCAATGGTTACTTATCTCTCATCCAGGGAGGGACTGGTTGGTTCTAATTTATAGACAGGATGGGCTGAGACAGAATCCCACAAACCACAGGGGAGCCAGGCAGATGAATTCCTTCTGCCCCAGGGTACAACATTTCAAGAATGGTACAACTCCATAAATTTTGTGTGAAATATGGTGATAGCCTGTAATACAGGTATCAGTAATACAGAGTGTGGGTGCAGTCAATAAAGACATCCAGATTCTTAAGCCTTGTAGGGAGTCCCCCCATTTCTGACTAATGAAGGAACAGTGGGAGGAAGAGGGAAGGGCTGAGAACTGGACTCTCATATTGTTCTTATCTCCATGCTGTCATATATTTCTACCTTAGGATAAATATGTACCAAGGTGAAATTTATGATACAAGGCTGAATGATGCAACACTTTTCACAATTACCCTGGGTTTAAATGTCACAAGGAAGATTGAGACATACAAAGAATAGAAATATTGATAAAGTAAAGAACCACAGTTTTGTTGCTAATATTCAGGCTGAGAACTTTGATACTGATCCACGCACACATTACATAACCCCAGTTCACACACTATAACAGTAGCATCTGTATTCAGTCTGTTGACCCCTGGTTACATATTGAATACAACTGAATATTGCATTGAATCAAAATTATAAGGCTGGAACTCAAAACCTATCATTAAAATATGAAAAAAAAAATACACATTTGTCAGTAAGTGTAATTAAATTGAAATTGGAGAAGGATTCATACCTGACAACTGAAATATATAACCCAGCTAATAACTAAGAAGACTTCATTCTTACAGTGAAGTAGTGATCACTTCAATTCAAGGTTTTAAATAACAAAAAAATAACCAGAACTTTTGCAATAGTACATTTCATCATTGAATAATTTACTAAATTTGAAGTTCCATGCTTAAATTAAAGTAATGCCACCAACAGTATGTGTGTAAAGGGGATATGACAGTCAAAAAAGGACCTTAATTATTTGCGTGGTCTACTGGTATATACTGCCCATGTGTTTAACATATGCATTAACAATTCTATAAATCTATATTTTATAATTAATTTAATTAATCTGTATTGTCTTAAATCTAGAACCCATCAAACTAACAAGCTTTGACATGTCCTGAATCAAGTGTTTGATACTCGACAGTCCAATTGCATCATCATGTCTGCCTTGATACTGCAGGTACAAGGAGAGAAGTTTCAATATATTTTGTGATCAATCTGCTAAGATGTATTATGCATTTTATAGTTTAAAGTTTATTAATTGTAACATATGCATCCACCTGACAAATGACAATATAAATGTAATTTTAAATGAGTATGCTGTTTTCCAATTACAAGGTGTTTGACTACTCCTAACTTACTAAAGACAATTGTTTAAGCCAAGGTTTTCTGTGTCAATTTTAATGTGCCTATTAATTTGTGTGAGGTTTTAATTTAATATCAGTCAAATAACACTAACAATGGAGTGAAAAGCACCGAGTTCTCTTTCTCCAGTTTCATTCCAATTGCCAGCTTTATGGTATTTCCTCTGCACTTACTGCAACTAATCAAAATGTGCCATACTTCTGATATTACTAAGAATATCAGTGCGCTAACAGAGAATGGATCTCTTATTTATTAAGCAAACATAATCTAGAATTGGTTTCAAAACATCCAGGTACTAACTTATTGGCTTAGTGAAGAATGAAAACAATAAATGTCATGAGCATTACCCAGAGTAGTGGCCTATGTACATGTAATAAAACCTTAATTAAGAACTGTTGTACTATAGACAAATTCTTTGCATTTTGCACGTTTATTTTCAGCTGTAGTCTAGATTGCAGTCTACAGCTGGCGCTATGTTTCTGTTCTGGGGACAAGGGTAATTAAGACATGATATTTCAAATACCATCAACCCTTTGGAAGTTAAAGCTGCTGCAAACTATCTAGTGTCTCATTAAGAGATGAAAATAGCTAAATAACTTTTTGGAAAAAAAATATATATATATATATATAAATAAATTTCTTGATTATTTCATATTTGCCTTCCAATTTTTTGCGCAAACATTTTCAAACAGTTTCAGTGTCTGGCAACATTATTTTTCAGCACCAGCTTCATTACAGCATCTGAGTTGTACTCAGAAAGGGTAACCTATCTCCAATGTAATTGTTACTTTTAAAAAAAACCTCCTCTTAACTGAGTCTAGTTTTATGGGTGGAGTTGCTGTCACATGTACAATTACAGACGATTTGCTGTCATCCACCGTGTGACATCCCTGCAGTTAACTGAGACAACAGCTGCTCTCGGCACATCAAACCATTCCTAGGATTGCTTATGTCAAGATCTAGGAAATATTCATAATTCATTCCCGTATACAGATCATCTAAATCATTCAGACGGGATTGAACAGAGCAAAAACTGGCATGTGTCAGTCATAATTATTGCTATTTTTTAATCACTGTGTGTGTATGTAGTTGTGTATAGCTGAATGGAGAGGAAGGGGAAGTCATTAGGCTTGATGATCAGTCTATTATTGTTTTACATCATCTCCCACCAACACCTCCACATGGTTTAATTATCTAGCTTGGTGAGAGATAAAATCTTGTGTCTTCTTTTCACAAATATAGTTCTATGTACTATACCAGAGGAAGTGAGCTTTTAGATACAACACTTAGAATGAAATCACTTTATTTCTATTTCAATTATCAAATGATGTGATAGTGGAGCTTAAGTTGCTGTGTTTATTAGTGCCTTGATAATGTTTGCCCCGTTGCTACTTCATTTCAACAGTGCATTTGATGACTATAAATACAACTGAGATATAAACACTCAATACAAGTAATTTGAAGGGCACAGTTTTACCTTTTGGGATTCAGACAAAAATGTTTAAATCCTTAAATCATTGAAACTTTGAACTTGTTAATTCGCGCAACGACTCAATCTTTAATGCATCAGCCTAAATTTCTCCACACAACATCTGTGTCATGTTATGATAATATTTTAAGGGACTGAGAAGTGCTGCTAATAAAACACTCACTTCACACAGATAGGCTGTTAGCAACTAGTTGACACTCTTGCTTAATTATCAATAGTTTCCTCAGTTTTATCTCTTGAAATGATAACATGTTTAACCTCCAAGATATAAAATCAAGGCTAGTCCAAAGCAAGCTGACTGCTACCAAGTACAAAATAAATGATGTTTGGCTAAGTTATATCATACACTGTAAAAGTGAACACATTTTATAATTTAGATATGTACAAATTAGAAAGTCTTGAATTAAAATTTAAATTGTTAATCTAATGAAACAATAATGCCGATTGTTCATGGATCAAAATTATGTCCAATGACCTATGCAAAAGTTTTATATAACAGCTCTGCATTGATAATAATAATAATAACAATAATAATAATAATAATAATAATAATAATAATAATAATAATAATAATAATAATAATAATATAAACCAGGGATAAAGGTATTTTCTCAGATATTATACTACATCTGTTCAAGACAATATTTGCTTCAGCATACTAAGTGTCGAAAGACAAATGTTTTTCTTTCATTCATCACATGGTATCACGTCAGTCACGGTATGACAACAGTCACATAGGTCCCTAACAGCCATCAAACTACCTGACCCAACCTCTCCTGAGGAAGTGGCCAGCTGATCATGTGGTCAGTTGACAAGAGTTAATGAAGTAGGAAGGGGTGCCCTGTATACTAATGACTGCAGTTAACATAACATCACAGGTTTCCCCACCCCCAGTGCATGCTAATTAACCTGGCAGGGGGAGAGGAAACGGAGGACCCATGTGACGCAAGGAGAGGTCAACTTTAATAACATTCTACCTTCTCTACAACCTGTTAGAAACAAGCCAATTAAAGGAGATAAGGATCCAGAAGAGGTCTTATCTGATTTCTCTTAGGATTGTTTTCATCCTCAACTTATTGCTAAATCCACCTTGATGTATTGTATTACCCAGTGCTTCTGGTGATTTTGTTGCTAATTGCTGTGGAGATGCATCAACTGCCTTAAGCATTAAGGAAATCTACACCCATTTTTTCCCTAGTAGCCCAAAATATTGCCAATAAACCCCCCCCCCCCCACCCCCCACACACACACTACTGAAAAAATCAAAAGGAAGTGCTAGAAAATATATCAACTTGTATTTTATGCATGGCGGGAAAATTACAGATGTCAAAAATTCCTGTTGGAGCCTCAGGGCTGTTCTTAAAAACAACTTTTATTGCTCTTACACCGTCTACTGGTTAGTACTAGTAACACACCATGCAGCTGCCACTGTGAAAACCAATAAGCCGAGAGATTTTTGTTATATTAATCATTATTGTCTAGCCTTTTCATCCAGAGAGCCAGTTTTTTTACTTTGTTTACTTTAATATACCCAGAATCACTTTTCAAGAAAAGTGTCATATTTGTCTGTACTGTGAGAAGAATGACAGTGCCTATGGTTCACCTAAAGGTTTCATCAAATCCATAAAGAATTGGTTTGCAATTTGATATTTTGGCCAGATATTAATACTGGAATACCTCCATATACATTCTACAGGACCTTAATTAAATCTGAAAGGCCTGTTATACAATTTCACACTGACACTTTTAACAATTTCCGATATCAGACTTTAAGGTGAATATAGCGAGCTCTTTTGTCACTTCCCACACAAATTGTCATGCACTGTGGGGACATCTAACCAACACCAGTGTGATTTATCACTGATGACTTCCACTATAAAAAACAGTGACTTAATAATAAAAATCTGAACCCATATCAAATTCTACACTACATGCTAGACCCAATGGCAAGTTGTAGCTTTCCCCATACGCCCCACGCGTGTAAGCTGACATCACCTTATAAAATATTGCAGTTTAATATGCAGCCCAACAACACATTACCTATTGAACTGCACTCTTGTGCTAAGATTCCCCCTATTCTCTTGCTAATAGGACTCCTCTATGGAAATCAAGAAGGTCTATCAAAGAACACCACTTCAAAGCAAGGGGGAAGGAGGCACCCCTGTAAAAAGCCCATTTGTCATTTTCATACAGGGATTGTATTTTAGGGACAGATTCTATTACACTCTCTGCGCTCTAAAGGTGATTTTTTGTTTGGACAGTTAAGATAGTGCGCAAGGTAAAAGGTTTTTACCCTGTACCCTGTAGAATTTTGTTGCATTTTAAAATAGAGATTCAACAAGTTTTGCTTGATTGTTTTAATCAAATACTTCAGCCAAAAACAATTATTAAATAGTGTTCAGAAATAAACATAGTGGTTGCTCTTAATTTCAATGACAACTCATAATTTAGTTTTTAAATGAGCCCTGTGTCAGAGTTCAATCAGAAATTTCTTATTTTATAATTTTAAAGGGGAAACTATATATACTAAATATCTAGTAACTTTCGTGTGACATTCTTATATCTATCAATTACATACAGGGGGGAATCACTTATTAACTTCCACTTAACAAAACTTCCCGAAGTAATTAAACATAAATGATGCCAACAAATCTAAGAACATTATTTCTGGTCAACAAATGAGCTGAGCCACAAATTAGTGAGGTAGAAAATGTGATGTAGAAAATATGACAACACCATTACTTAACACTCCACCAGTGACCAGAATTCTCCAGTAGAGGCTACAACAGGTAGGCCATTGTTGGAAGAAACCCTTTGTTGGTGATTGTCCCTTGAATGGGATGAACTAATTCAATTCTCTGTGACTAATACCTTGTTATTACACACAGAGAGGCAAGGGTATTACTTAAACCCAGAAGGTCCAGATAATGACCACCCTCCTATCAAACTGATACTTGAATCCCATTCCAGTGTTAGTAAAAGTTACACAATGTAGAATAAAACAAGGGTAAGAATTCTGTTCAAATGAAAATCATGAGCACCAGCGTGGCGCTGGATAAAACCAAACACCTGGGTCTTCATCAATGTCCTCAATGTAGTCATCAATGCGTGCGAGACAAACATTATCAATAACAAACAAACAGGGAAAAGGAGAATGAGAATGTTATTCTTTCTTAGATTAGGTCCCTCGATAGGAAAATTCTACAAAGGCACTCAGTGACAGAGGAAACCTTTCACTGAAAGGGATGGCCCCCCCTTACAATACAGACAATGTACAAGAAGATGATAGTATAAAGTCTGGAGATCTGGGTTCTTATCGGTGAAGAGGGTGAAAGGGGCTCGACGGATGCAACATGTTTACCAGTCTAATACATTTATCACTGTGTACATTTTGTAGATTTTGATAGACTCTATCAGACACAACTTATAAACTTTTCATTTTTCCCGTCTCTAAGAGAGATTTAACACTGTAATCTGAGTTAACCTCATTCATAAAACAGTTCATTTTTTAATCACTCCAGAAATTCAGAAGAATTGGCAAACATAAAGTGGCAATCTGAAGAGCAAATAGAACCACTTGTTGATTACATAACCGTGTGATTATGTTATTTAAAACTGGACTTTGCATATATCCTTTATATATTTATATATTTATATATCACAATAACATTCCAGACTCAACAGATCAATTAATTAACTATTCCTCCCTGTGCTAGCACCCTCTTATGAGAAAAACCACAGGTCATACATAAAGCATAAACTATAAAGGTATTATCATCTGAGAGAAATGCATCAAATCATTGATTTATTAATTATTAATGACAACAATGAATATAGTGAGGATAAAGTATCAACCTACCTCGACGCGTGTTTTTCGTGTGATCCAAGTGTGGTCCGTGCTTATGGTGGCTGGCCACCACGATTTTGAAGCCATCCTCTCCGTTGACAGTACGAGGACTCTCCCATCCGCAGTCAGAGTCAAAATCACAACCACTACATCCCACTGTTAGTAAAGATAGAAAAACACACAGTGATACTGACAGACTTTTACACATGACAAATTTACAAACTGCTGCCATCTTGTCCGTCTCGTCTCCTGCTTTCTTACAAAAATGACACAGTGTTCTTAATTCTAGTTTTCAGAAATTCTCCCCATTCTAAGACATGAAAACAAATTCTTAGAAATGTCACTTCCAACGTGTCCTCACAATTGTATGTCTTCCATAAAACACATCAACTACATGGTGCCAATAACAATAATCTCAAGATTTGCGGAACGGCTATTCCCCTCCGACTGCTCTGGTGATAATTAGAATTTTATGATCATATCGAGCCACTGTCGTCCAATCAGTTGCTGTTAATGGGGCTGGTGGCACTGGGCTACCAGGTGCAGAGGATGGATCCTGAGGTTTTAGCAGCCGTTTTTTCAAGGTGGGCTCAATCTGTCACTTTGCCTGGGTAGCCTGGCTGTACTGAGGTATCTGTTGGTGACACCTTGATACAATCACCTCAGATCTCAACAGCTGTCACCAATCCTAGCACAGCCTTAATCCTGGGAATAGCTGGGAATTGGGTTATGAAGGATGACAACTTTTTTTTATCTCAGACTTTCCTGTAAACAAGGTTACTGTGCTTCATGGTTCTGTCTTTTTTTTTCTCCACAGATCTCAATGTCCAAGAAAAAAAATAAAGCTCTAATGTAATCTGTCCTTTAAAATATTTCAGCTCAAAACTTCCAATAATTTTTTCTAATAGATTTTACAGCATGTTTTCTGGGATCCTTCTTCTAATATGTCCTTTCTTTCTCCATCTCCAGAGTAACTCTATCTTCCACTGAGTTAAAGTACACTCACAGCAGTTTTCCTATCTCTCTAGCT